ATTTCCCAAAATAAAGGCTAAAAAAAAACCTCTGCACTCATGTGACTATTAATTATTATAAATATTAGCTAATATTAATAAATATCAACAACTAACAGACCCTCTTCAGCATTACTACAGGAGGTTCTGAACTAGGAACAGAAGGGATGGAAAAGAAATGAACAGTAATAGGTCATTCACGATGATGTGCCAGGCACTTGATGGCAGATTTCTCAACTAAGCCTCATAATCACTTTGAGATATTTTTACCTCCATTTATAGAAGGGGAAACTGAGGTTTAGAGGTTACACAACTTGCCAGCTAAGTAAAACAGCCAGGATCTGAACCCTAGTCTGTCAGACCCCCAGCCACTTTCCAGCAGTGGTTCCCACACCCTTTGCCACTGCAACAAGCCTGGAGGCTAGGACTCCAGCCTGGGTCTGGGGTGGGAGTGGTAACGTCTGGAGAGGCCCAAGGATCACCACCAGTCATGACGGACACCAATCTTATGCCTCTTGGTCCACAACTGTATATGGAACAATTAAATTATGAAGACGGCAAGAAACAAGCATTATACCTGAGAACTGTTCCATGGCAATGGCTCTGGTATCACATTTCTCTGTGATAATGGCCATATTTACACTCCCATTCCCGGTCCTTAGAGACCTGGGTGGGTCCCCGCCGGGGCTCCCGTTTCCTGGTGCCCACACAGATGTGATAACGGTGAGGTACAGAGCCCAAGCCCGGCTTCGGTCCATGTCGTCAATGGGGTCCCGCTGTAAGTGGGGACCTTTCCATTAGGGCTGTGCCGCACGGAGTCATCCTCAAAGATGCCGAGGACACTGATATGGCCAGGAATAGAGACCACCTTGTGTGTGTCCCCTTCCTGGCCACGGTGTCACTTTGACAGATGTCAGACTTCGCGTCACTAGAAATGGGCCCATTATGGACTCGAAAACCTGCAGCCGTTTCCAAATGCAGCTTCTCCCAGCCAAAAACACACACGGTGCTCAGGCATGCGCCAAATGTGTGCAGATATGGGCCACTTCCCTGCTGTTCACAAGCACTAACGATCCAGTCCCCGGCAGAGGCCACGGCTGCCGTCCAAACGCACCGGTCCTTTAGGGCCCATTCAGTGCGGAGTAAAAATTCTCACCGCAGTTATCAATTTACATTATAATTCCTGTTTATACTGTTGAATTTTCACCCATCTGTACTCTGTTGCCTTCATCTAAACCAAATGGCCCCAAAAACACTTTATCAAGTAAGTGCTTTATTCCAGTCAGGAGCCAGGTGATGAGGTACTGGAAGAATAGCTTGCTATCCAGTCCAGAAAGTTAATTACTAATGTAATTATCAAAACCTTTTATTTTCAGGGTTAAGTCAAGCATCTCTGTGGGCAGGCTGTCTTCCTGGTTTGTTTGTTCTCCAGCTGACATGTAATTAGCTCTTAAGGACAATGCATTTTTGGACTTTTGAAAGCCCAAACACAAATATTTGAGTAACTATTCTATCTACTGACTATTTCCTCATCCATAGGATTTAAAAATAAAACAAAGTCATTAAACCAATTTAACCCATCACCTCAAACTCTCTGTGCTCAAGGCTGCCTCTACATGACTTTTTCTATAGCAGATAAAACAAATTTAAAGCTACATTTTTCCCCATAAAATGTTTTAGGCTCCTATAACGCTATTTCCTCTTCATGCTTTTGATGGATTATTTCTTCTCCAAGAAATCTCACATTCAGCTTTGATAGGGCTGCTCACTTGCATAGAAAGAAAGAATTAAGGTGCAGGTCCTCAGACCCGAAGCTGCTCCAACAGCAGAACAGAGAAGTTTGTCTACTTGTCCAAAGGCAGAACTCCAAGTCAAGAAATACAGATAAAATCTGATGCAGTGAAAGGGAGCATTATGGCCTGAAAGTTACAGCTTTTCAAGAAAACTGAGTTCCCATGAGGACTCAGTCTGTGATGAGCTCATGACCTCGAGCGGGATCTTTACTTAAGTCGGTGGTGTTGTGTTCATGGCCTGAATGATAACCTTAACCGTCTAACAGGGACGTCTAGACTCCGGGGGCCAGTGAACGGCATGGGAGGCACAGGGCACCCACCCTAGTCTCCTCCAGTTAGAGACCGCCCCTTGCCCGCTGCAACTGGCCTTCAATCTCACAGAAAGAGAACTTGAATATGTCGATTGGGCATCTTACTTTCTCACGAACTACAGTTTAAAGGGGGAACAGAGTATTTAGCCGCACCCGAATCGGTTCCCATCAATTTTACTCACCACCGCATTCTAGCACCTTTGATGAGAACTAATTAAGCTCATGTGGTGTTTCTCCTCCCCAGACTGCCTTTTGCCGCTCTGGAAGAGAGCACAGCAAATTAGGCCCATCTGTCTACATGGGAAGAAGTTGGTTTTCCCAACGCCAGCAAGCTTCCTTTCCCACCTAGAAGCTGCCTTCCGAGGTTCCCAAACACCGTGGGATGATGGTGGTAACCTTACTTCCTAACCAGCGAGAATTCTGGGGAGAACACAGCTCCCAATTCATGGAGATCATTTCCTTGCACAGTGAAATGTCCAGGGAAGCCACAAAGTATGCTACCAGACTATCATTCAAGGTCAAACTTGCAAACTCTGTGCGATATTTAAGTTCTTCTGCTGCAATCTTGCCAAAAGGAAAGTCTTTTTTCATTAAGTATGCCCCAACAGGAGAGCCTAATTAATTTTAACAGAAGCAGAGGAGTCTTTTTGTCACATAACGTTACTTTCTTTAAAGAAAAAAAATAAAATAGCCCCACAGTTCACACAAGCCAGGAGACAAAGTTATAGAAAAGAAGCCATTGGCAACAAAGACGCCCACGGGTCTGCCTGGGCCACGGTGTCAGGCTCCCAGCTGTCCCCAACTGATGCTTCTTATTATACTAATGTCCACCCCTGCCAACGGCTAAGTCAGTGAGCACAAAAAGAGAATCAATAATTATTTGACAGTCATGATAAAATGTTATTCCTGACCCAAGTTAAGAGATGAAATTAAAGCTCATAAGAAGGCCAATGTCTTACTCGGTGGAGGTGGATCACGTCTACTTACAGAATATATAGCAGTGCAGCCTAAACCACTAGTTGGGTCCTTACGTAACAGGTCCTTATAACATAAAATGAATCCTATATAATATCCTATATAATAAAAACCTAATATGCTAAGTGTCCAACCATTCCTTCAACCGTTTGACCAGTCGCTATGATGTGCACTGACCACCAGGGGGCAGATGCTTTGACCCGTAGGTTAGCTTGCTACTGGGGTCCAGCTGATCGGGGCTAGGTGAGAAGGGCTGGACATGCCCTGGAGCCTTCCTATGGTCCCTCCCTGGCCGGCCAACCTCCTGCAGTCCCTCCCCAGCCAGCTGACCCCGACTGCCCTGATCGGGATTAGGCGAGATGGCCCCAATAGGGCCCGATCGGGACTGGGTGAGATGGGCAGGACACGCCCTCGAGCCCTCCCGGGATCCCTCCACGGCCCCGATCGTGCACCAGTGGGGTCCCTCGTCCTGGCCTGCTCCCTCTCGAAATCCGGGTCCCCTGGGGGATGTCGGAGAGCTGGTTTCAGCCTGAACCTGGCAGGCCAGGCTGAGGGACCCCACTGGTGCACGAATCCCTGCATCGGGCCTCTAGTTATTAATAAAAGAGAATCTGTTGCTAGTTTCTTAATGGGTCTTTTTTTTCATTTCTACTCTAAGAAAAAAAATGGCAAGGATTCAGTTGAATCAGTAATTTTCAAACTTGTTTTTTTAAGATTCATATTTCAAAGCTCTATTTTAAAACTGGTCCACATAGCCTCTGATACATAAAAGATGGCCAAAACGGAGGTGATCCAGATGTGGTGAGGAGGCACGGAGGGTTTAGCCTCTTCGTCTGCCTCACATTCCTGAAGTGGTCTTAAGGTCACCACAGGGAAACAAAACAATTTGAAAAGCACTGCACCAAAATGCATTCAAGTATAACATAAGCAGCAAATTTTAACTAGTAAAGCAGAAGTTCCAGTAAGGTATTTTACAATAAATGCACAACATGGAAATACTAGCATACATATAGATTATCTATTTAGAGAGGACCTAAGCTATTCAATTACTACTTATCACACGCAAGTTCAAATGCTCCACTAATTATACACATAAAACCCTTTACAAACCAGCCAAATGGATTTCAATATATCTGAGTGAAAGAAGAGAATGTAGCCATGAAAATAGTGATGACAAAGAGGTCTTAAACATGGAAAAATATGCCCTAGCTGGTTTGGCTCAGTGGATAGAGCGTCACCTATGGACTGAAGGGTCCCGGGTTCGATACTGGTCAAGGAAACATGCCTGGGTTGCAGGCTTGATCCCCAGTAGGGGGCATGCAGGAGGCAGCCGATCAATGATTCTCTCTCATCAGTGATGTTTCTATCTCTCTATCCCTCTCCCTTCCTCTCTGAAATCAATAAAAACATATTTTTTAAAAAAGGAAGAATATAATAAAATGTTAAGGAAAAAAGCAAGAATTACATTGCTGATATAAAAATGCCCAGACAACCTCTGAGCAGAGATCTGTTAAAATACCAACATGGTTATTGCTAGGTGGGAGATTAGGGGGGAGGGGGGGGGTTGCTTTTTTTAATCTTATTTTGTTTTTAAAAGGAGGAGGAGGAGGAAAAAAGGGAGGAAAAAGAGGAGGAGAAGGGGAAGGGAGGAAGGAAGAAAGGAAGGTAGGAAGGAAGGACAGAAGTAGCTTAGACATCCTTTGGGCTTAAAAGTCAATTAATACTGCCCCAGCCAATACTCATTCAGTCTGATACATGCAGAACTGGGTTATTAACCTTTTAGGGATCTGAAATTTTTCATCCCAAACTAGTTTAGCAGCTTGCAGTTTGATGCTCCATGCACATCAGTACCGCAGAAGGCCCAAAGAGGGGGTGTTGGGCCATGAGCAGGGACAGGAGCAGCCGGCTGGGCAGGAGCACATCCCCAGTGCCACGCACTCACCATGTCCAGGTCCTGGGAAACCCGCCGTTTGCGCAGCTCCTCCATCTTCTCGCACACATCGGAGAAGTAGGTATTGTAGTAATCTGCATACTGCTGTGCCAGGTCATCGATGTTGCCCAGGGAGCCATCCTGAGGGTGAGGAGGGCGGGAGGGAGAAACAGGAAAAGAACAAGACAGTCAGTCCACCTGCAAACACCCCACACTATGCCGTCTCCCTCTCCACAGGGTTTTCAGTGATAGCTGTCATTTATTAGGTGGGGAACATGTGCCAGGTGACAATTCCAAACGTCAGCACAGCCCCTGGACACAGGACCTAGTTCCTCGCTGTATAGATAGACAAACCGTAACTCCAAGAAGTTGAGCAACAGCCCCAGGTGGCAGGGCTAATGAGCAAAGAAGCCAGGCCCCCATCCTGGGACTGTATGGTACCCAAGCCACAGCTAACTCACACCTCTGCCTGCTTAGCACAGCTAAGGCACCTCCAGGGAAGTCCCTTCAGCAGAGGCACGTGTCAGTACGAGGCTCCCTAAAGCCCCGTGGGCCCTGGCTGCATCAGAACCTCCTGGGAAGCTTTTGTGAAATCCTGATGCCAGGACACCACTCCCAGAAGTTCTGATTGGCATCTGAGATTTCAGCAACCTATGGGGAACGCTGCATCTGGGACACACCTGAACCATCCCCTCCCAGGAGACCCTCAGGAAAGTGGAGTCATTCCAACTACAGATGCAAAAGTACACATTACAAAGTCACCTAAACAAATAAGGAATCACATCTGTCTCTTTCCTGAAGAAAGTGCCCAGAAGGTGTGCTGGAGCCTACACTCCTGAGTTCACACCCAGCTCGCTGGCACGGGTGGTTCCGTGACCTCAGGCACGTTCCTAACCTCTGGCAACAGTGGGAGAGTAACAGTCCCTCCCTCACAGGGAGGAGTAATGAAGGATCATAAACCACTTAGAACTTAGCCCATCCAAGTCCACCTGGTACACAGTAAGTGTTCAAAAGCTACGTAGTTCATAACATTCACTACAAGGTCATGTTTCCAACTATAGTCTTCCTTTAAGGGAGCTGATTCCTAAATACATGTCTGAACACAGACACCTAAGATGACAAACATGCTGCAGCCACTTGTAAGTTATGCCCTTTCTTCTAGTCTTTCCTTCCTTCCTCCCTTCATTCGGAGAAAGGTCTCCCCTACCCCTTTTCACCTCCCAGCACACCTTCCTTTGGTTTGAGTAAATGACCCCACCAAGGCAACCCAGAAAAACGATTTTACCAAGACAGCCCCCAAAAATGCAAGTTTTAGACACCCTGAAAGGTGCACACACTTTGTATTTCACAGACCCCGGGCCAGCCTCTTGGCGTAATTCACAGCAGCACCCCCCCCACCCCCTCCCAGGGAAACGTATCTCATACTGAAAAGCACACTTAAGCGCAGCTCAGGTCTGGGGACTAAGAGTTCTCCAGAGCCTTGTGCTGCAGACCTCGGGGCCCCCGTCAGGAGCCTGCCTCAGAGCAACCATCATCACTACCCCCACTTCTGCATTCCCTGGTTTTACAGAACTAAACGGGGAAACAGAAATTGAAAGCAATGAATTTCTAGAAAATATTCTCCCTTCCCACATTTGCGGTAATTGCCTCCAAGTCCCCAGGATAGAGCTAGGGGCCGGGGGGCTCGTCCAAGACAGTGAGATATTTGAACACGTCTGGGTAAAAGTCACTCCCTCACTGTCTGAGAGGACAGGCTGGATGGACAGTGTAGAGAGGTAGGAACCGACCCGGCTCTTCAAATGTTCACTGTCGAGTAAATTAGGAAATAACATCAGTCAGGGTGGACTCTTTGCTGAGCCTCTGAGGAAATCCACAGAGGCGGCCAGCCTACCCTACGGGCCTTTGCTTTTCTGTCTTCAGACAAGGAAAATGCCAGGAAACAGTCACTCTTAGGAAAGAGGGAAGCACCTCAGAATATCTTAAGGTGAGGTTCCTGAAATAATTTGCTAAATCAAATCACGATGCAAAGGTCTGCCCTGACCCGCCTCAACTCAACAGCACATGCCACACGGGCCACCGCACGAATATCTACAACTTCCCACCTGGTTCTCCTGTCTTCTAATCTGCCATTGACCCGCTCACGCGACCTTGCCATATACTAGTAAACAGATCTGATTGGGTCTCTCGCCCCTGGGAATTAGCCACACCACCCCCATGTCCCATCCTACAAAATAAGCCCCAAGCTGACCAGCCTGGCTTCAGGGCCCTTCACCTCCCTCCCCAGTTCCAACCCATTGAGGAAGGAGCTGAGGTGTGCAGACTGGGCGGACCAGCGGAGTCAGACAGCAATCAACAAGCAGCCCCCACGGTGGCGGCTTTCCCGCCAGTGGGCCCTCTCCCACCCCGTGCACCTGGGCTAACACCAGGAGAAAGGACTGGAAGAATCTTCAGCAAAGAGGGAGGGCATGTGAGCTGCTCCCATGGGAACATCTGTCCTGACCACCAGCTACTGACAGCCAGGACTGTGAGAGCAAAGTGCCCGCCGAGGCAAGGGCTCGTCCACAGCTGCCTCCGCCAGCGGGGAAGCACCTGGACAGCTCCGAGGACAGAGGGAGCCGGGCCACCGTTAGCATCAGCATCTGCCTCCATTAACCTGGGATGTTTGCTCACACGTCAAGGAAACAAAGCCCTCACCGTCCCTCCAGTTCTCTCCCAGAACCCCCTGTTTTCTTAGCTCACTCGCCCAGCAGAGACTGAGAGAGACCAAGGAGCTCCCTTTGGAGTGAGTTAGAAGGTAGAGGGCACTGCGTTCAAACACTTTATCTAAAACCCAGTTTTATGAGTTTTCACCCTGATCCTGCTACTCCTCACAACAACTAGGACCCCTGGGAGACCCTGGGCTCTCTAGAGTGGTCTTGGTCTCCCCAGAATACGATGCTGTCCTCACCCAGAAACCTTCTTTCATCCATCCAGGAAATGAAACATACCTGCCACCTTCGACCAAGTACAACATCCACATCTAATACCTGAGTGCCTGAGTGAGACTGTTAGTCACGTTATACATTCTTAATGGAAATTAACACCTATCTATCATCTATCTATCATCTATCTACCTACCTACCTAGCTATCTACCTAGCTATCTATCTATCTCTCATTTACAGAGGCACTAGGAGTTGTAGTGTACAAGCCAAAGCACTCTCATCTGGAATTCTGCCTTCTCACAAAAATAACCAGCCTTTATATGAACTGTACAAGTTTTCACAACCCACTGTTTTCATGGACTAAATCAAGGCCACTCCAAAAAAAATTCAATTATTAATGTAGCTTTGTTCCACTTACTTTTCCCCTTTTTCTCTCCTCTCTCAAATATCCTAGCAACACCTTCAAAACCAACTGTTCACTGCAGTTCCAAAGTTTCGAAGCTGTTGATCAAACTTTTTTCCTACTAGTAAAAACATTTAACTCCCCAGCCCTCACTCCCAATCACTCGGAACTTCCTAGCAATGTGGGAGCCTCAAAATATATCTGTAGCTCATGAGGGAGAAAACAGCTGTTCAACTAACTCAGGCCAAAGACAGCAAACATCTTAGGCTGCGGTATTCACTCCATACTTGTTGCTCAGCAAATGATCATTCAGAACAGGGTGGCTCAGCTGCCTCTGTGTTTTCCCAAATTGCTTTCCAGATGTGCACTAAGTCCCCATAATTAGCACTTTCATCAGTCTTGATGATTTAAATGCCAAAAAAGGCAAAAAAAAATTTTTTTTTTTTATTTTTTTAAAAGTTGGTCCTGTCTGCCATCCCCAGAAAGGAGCCTTCCCATCCATCTCGTTCGGGACTATCTGAAAACCTTTGCATCGTTTCTATCCAACGTGTTCTTACTTGAGATAGTACAGACCTGTCAGTAAAAATATTTATCTCACGAAAAATGTTTGCAACATTAGTTGTAGGGAATTTAAATAATGCAGCTGTATTTCGATAGCTCCACGCCTAGTACGCATCTTTCCTTTTGATTATGAAGTCCATGTCTGACTCAACACCCTACAATGCCAATGTCTGGAGGCACTGATGTTACAAAATAAACTAACTATAGTAACTTTAAATCATCTCTATTATAATAGATACAATTATTAAAACATTGAAACCAACTCTCGTTTAACCTTTTTTTTTTTTTATATTTTCTGCTCCGGAGTTTAATACTTGCCTAATCTGTTTCACTTCTTCTTTGATTCTCACGCATTAGAGGCTGAAGCAATGTTTATTCAAATTTGGGGACGGGGGAAATTTTTATTTCCTCAAAATAATTCTTAAAAGTAAATTGTGAAATTTTGTGTCACGTTATTGTTTTACAAGCATTTTCCCACCCCTGTCAGAGAGAGAGAGAGAGAGAGAGAGAGAGAGAGAGATGCAAATTCAAGTTCTCTTCCCTTTTCTTGTTACAGACCATGTCACAGCATCTTTTCATGTGGATATCCAGGTCACTGGCACAGACTTGAATTAAATCTATGGTCCCACTACCAGTGTCAGCTCAATGGAAGACAATACTTGTGTATTCTTCCTGCAAAGCCATAGCACACGTTTCTACCAAACATCCATCTCTTACACACCAGCACAAAAACAGAGATAAGGGGCTATGTACCAAACAGTTCAGACTGGGGGTAGGGGATGAGGTGGGGGGGGCTGCTTTTACAATTAAGGAGAAAAGAAACAAAGTACTGCTCTCTCAACAACTGATTTTTACCTCCCAGGGTACTTCTGTCTCTGGAAAAAGTGAAAACTAAAAGCACTATGAGATTGTTATTTTTGTTTCTTCTTTCTCCAGATGTCATTTTTGGTTTAGAGTATCTTCACAGGCTTGGTGGGGGGGGGTTTACTCTGAAGACCCCAGGAAACACATGTAATCTGTAAGGCTGTATGCAGATTACATGCAAATGAAATGCAAATAAATGTGTGGACTTGCTATTTTAAATACTATGTATAAAAACACAGCCTCAAGGGAAAACTCAATGTGTTGCTCTGAGTGCCCGAAGTTGAGACTCCTGGCTTACTTATTTATTGTGTCTCTACCTTTTCTGTCCATAATAATAAGTATATATAGGATATATTTGATATAATATAACTTATATGTGATATTTACACGG